TGAAGTGGCCTTCCTTACCTCTTGTTATGGCCTTCACTTTGAGGTCTATTTTGTCCAATATAAGTATTGCTACCCCAGCTTTCTTTTCCTTTCCATTTGCCTGAAAGATATTTTTCCATCCCTTCACTTACAGTCTGTGTGAATCCCTTCTAATGAGGTGGGTCTTTTGTAGACAGCAAATGTATGGGTCATGTTTTTTTATCCATTCAGCCACTCAATATCTTTTGGTTGGAGCATTTAGTCCGTTTACGTTTAAAGTTATTATTGAAAGGTACTTGTTCATAGCCATTTCTTTTGTGTGTGTGTGTGGCTGTTTTCTTTCTGAGCTTTTTATTTCTTCTTTTTACACCAGTCCCTTTAGCATTTCTTGCATTGTTGGCTTGGTGGTGATAAACTCCCTTAGCCTTTTTTTATCTGTGAAGCTTCTTATTTCCCCTTCAATTTTGAATGATAGACTGGCTGGATAGAGTATTCTTGGATTCAGTCCTTTGCTTTGCATCACTTTGTAAATTTCCGTCCATTCTTTTCTGGCCTGATGTGTTTCTGTTGAGAAATCATTTGATAATCTAATGGGAGATCCCTTGTATGTAACTTTCTGTCACTCTCTTGCAGCCTGTAAGATTCTCTCTTTGTCCTGAACATTTGCCATGGTGATTATGATGTGTCTTGGTGTGGGTCTTTTCGGGTTCACCTTGTTTGGGACTCTCTGGGCTTGTGTGACTTTTTTCTTCCCCACCTCAGGGAAGTTTTCTGATATTATTTCTTCGAATAGGTTTTCTAAACCTTGTTCATCTTTCTGTTGTTCTGGCACCCCTATTATTCATATGTTGTTTCGTTTCATGTTGTCCCAAAGCTCCCTTAGGCTCTCCTCCTGTCTTTTTATTTTTTTTTCCAATTGCAGTACATTTTGGGTGTGTTTTGCTTCCTTGTCTTCTAATTCACTAATTCGGTCCTCCGCTTCTCCTAGTCTACTGTTGATACTTTCAATGGTGTTTTTTATTGCAGCTATATCGCTCTTCATTTCTTCTTGGGTCTTACTTAAGTTGTTGATTTTTTCATCTGTTTCTTCTTGCTTCTTGTATATGTTGTTGATTTTTTCCTCCATCCGGTTTATGCACTCTAAGATCCTTATTCTGAATTCTTTTTCTGTCATGTTGCATGCCTCTGCATCACTTAGCCACTTTTCTGGCGAGTCCTCCTTTTCTTTCCTTTGGGGGTTTCTTTGTCTACCCATGTTTGATCTCACTGACATATCTAGACATTGAGTTGTTCAGTGGCTGCTCCCTGGGTGGCAGTGGCTCCTTGGGCTATGGTTGCTCCTCAGGCGGCTGCTCCTCAGTTGGCAGCAGCTCCTCTAGTGGGTGCTGTTCACAGCTTTGGTGGCTCTTCTGGCTGGTGGGGGGAGGCTTCACGTACAGCTGCTGTTCCTCAGAGGGTGTGGTGATCAGGAGGCTGCTGTTGCTTGGATCTGCTGCATTGATTTAAGGGCACATAATACAACACAACAAGGCACAATGTACCATGCACTGAACACAAATATCCATCCCAGGATTTTAAAGTGCCTTTTCAATGTATTGATGGGTATTTTCATAACTTCTTTGTGGAGAGATTATAAAAATAAAAATAATTATTTAATGGGAAAAAAAAGTATGGGCATTTTTTCTCATTAAGGACACAATGAGGTAATGAGCAAGAATCCCTTAATATCACATATTACCATCAATACTATCACTATCAATGTCTCATTTCTTTCTTTTCTTTTTAATCCTCACCCAAGGATTTTTTTTTTCCCCACTAATTTTTAGAGAGATTAGAATGGAGAAAGCGAGACAGAGGGGAACACCAATGTGAGAGAGACACATCAATTGGTTGCCTCCCACATACCCCCACTAGGGCCGGGAGCTTGCAACCGAGGTACATGCCTTTGACCGAAATCAAACCCAGGACCCTTCAGTCTGCAGGCAAATGCTCTGTCCACTGAGCCAAACTGGCTAGAGCCCTTCATTTCTTAAGTTTGTTTGAATTAGATCTGAATAATTTCTGCCTTGAGCTTGGTTGGTATAAGCTGCTTCTGTTGCCTCACATGCAGGTTTCCCCTCGTCTTTTCCTTGCAGTTTTTGTTTGCTTAAGAAATCAGGCTTGTGTGTCCTGTAGAGTTTCCCACAGTCTGGTTTTGTGTATTGTATCCCTGTGGTGTCATTCAATATGTGTCCCCACCCCCTGTATTTTCTGAAAATTCATAATTTGATCTAGAGGCATGATAAGATTTGGGGGTTTGGTTTTGTTTATTTGGTTTTGTTTTGGTGAGAAGACTTGAGAGGTGGTGTTAGTGTCCCTCCAGCAAGGACAGATTTGTCTGGTTGTCTCTCATTTTGTGATGCTTACTACCTAGAGCTGTTAACTCACTGGTATTTACTGAATGGGAAATGCTGTCATGTGTGTCAGTAGTTTGTTCCTTTTGTTCCTGAATAGCATCACATGTATGGCTGTCCCGCATTTTGTTCACCCATTTATCATTTGATGGCCATTTGGGTTGCTTCCAGTTTTTGTTTATTTAGAATATATTGCTGCTGTGAACTCGTGCATACAAATTCTTGTGTGGACATGTTTTCATTTCAGGGTCAGAATTGCTGCATTGTGTGGTAAAGTTATGTTTAATGTTTTAAGAAACTGCCAAACAATACAGAAGTGCTGTATTGTTTACTTTCGTGCCAGCAGTGTATGAGCAGCACATTTTCTCCACATCCTCACCAACACTTGTTTGTTTGTTTTTAATTATTATTATAGTGGATATAAAGTATCTCATTATGGTTTTACTTTGTATTTCCCTAATAACTAATGATGTTGAGCATTTTTTATGGTCTTATTTGCATCCATATGTCTTTGGTGAACTGTATATTCAAATATTTGGCCCATTTTACTTTTTTTTTCTGACTTCTTTTGATTCGTAAGTGTTCTTTACAGATTCTGGACCCAAGTCCTTTATCAAATGTATGGTTTGCACATATTTTCTCCCAATATGGCTTGTCTTTTTATTTTTTAAGGATATTTTTTAAACATACGTGTTTTTTAATTTGATGACATCTATTTATCATTTTTCTTTCTCTCATTGAAGTGACTTGGCTTCTTTGTCAAAAATCAATTGGCCATCAATGTATTGGTTTATTTCTGAACCCTTGTCTGTTCCATTGATCTTTGTGTCCAACCTTATTCCAGCATCACACTGCGTTGATCACTGTTGCTTTAAAGTAAGTTTTGGCGTGGGAAGTGGGAGTCCCCCACCTTTATTCTTCCTTTCCACATTTGTTTTAACCCCTCTGGCACCTTTGCATATCCATGTAAATTGTAGAGTCAGCTTGTCAATTTCTGCAAAACAGCTTGCTAGGGTTTGGGGGAGAAATGCATTGAAGCTGTAGCTCAATTTGGGGAGAATTGCCATCTTAGCAATATTGAGTCTTCTGATCCATAGACATGGAGTATCTCTCCATTTATTTAGTTCTTTTCCCTTTTCCTCTTCTAGGACTATAGTTACAGTATGTTAGACTGTTTCATGTTGTCCCACACATTGCTCACACTCTATTTTTTTTTCTTTGTTGTCTATATTTCAGTTTAGATCATTTCCATTCACTCATGTTTCACTTCTTTTCTCTTCTGCTGAATCTAGTCTGTTAAGTCTATCCGATGAATTCTTAGTTTCAGATAATATATTTTCCAATATTATAATGGTTCTTTTTTGCAGTTCTACTTCTCTGATGAGATCCTTGATTATTCCTCATTTTGTTCATCTTTTCTTCTAAATTCATTAGCCTATTTATTGTAATTATTTTAAAATTTCTTGTTAGATAATTCCAACATTTAGATCTTCTGAGAGTCTGCTTCTATTGACTCCCCACCCCCCCACCCCCACCCCCACACACACCCCTCCCCTTGATCATGGGTCACATTTTTCTCTTTCCTTACCTGCTTTAATAATTTGGAGGGATGCCAGTCATTGTCTTTAAAAGAATTTATTTTTTCCCCCAGCAGACTGTTCTTTTCCTCTGTCTAGCAGCTAAGTTGAGGAGCTAATACTGTCATCCAGTCAGGAATTGGGATGGTTGGGGGTGGACTGCAGCATTAGTTTCCATTTATCCCAGGTTTCAGATGCCTTAGGGGAGAGCTCTGTCTGCGGTCAGTCTGCTGGGCTCCCAGAACCAGGAACTCTCTGCTGTCCATCCTGACCACGGGCTTGCACAGCGATGCTGCGGTGAGAGAACCGCAGAGAGAGCGTAACATGCCGTCTTTTCTTTTTTTTCTTCTTTTTATCCTCACCCGAGGATATGTTTTTCTTGTGCACGTCCCGACTAAGGATTGAACTTGCAATTTAGGTATATATGCCCTGACTGGGAATTGAACCTGCCACCTTTTGTTGTATGGGACAATACTTCAACCAACTGAGCCACCTGGCAGGGCATGCCAGCTTTTTTTAGAGAGTAGGGGTAACACACAAGCACTTCATCTGGTGAGAAACTTGAATCATCTTTATATTAAAACAAGAAACATTTATTGCAGAGTAAACTACAAAATTCACTTGACTTTTCCAATAAACAGAAGATGTCATCCGTTCAACATCTGTCACATGCTCATCTGTGCCAGGTCCTGTGCTAACTCTCACGCTCACTGGTGGCCACTTGGAAGAATCTGAGGTGTTAGGTGCCACATATCTCCGGATGGCAGATCAAGGCTGGAACCTTATCTCTCTCTGCACTTCTCTCTCAACCCTCTCCCTCCTTACAGGTCACTCTGAAGACCAGATACGAGTGTCCTTGGCACCGGGCCATTTCTATGGGAATGGCCAGAGGCATTGTCATCCATAAAAGTGAGATGCCCTTTTAGGTGGGAGCTACTTACAGATCCTTTAACACTTCAGGAAAGGAGAGTCCTCCATTAAGAACACTGGCATTCATACATGTGGCATGTTTTCTAATCTTTTTGCTATGTGTTTCCTTTTTTCTTTTTAGGTTTGGGAAAAGTTCTTAAGTTCTGAAACTCCACGGATTAATGTGTTTATGGCAGTGCCTACAATATACACCAAATTGATGGATTATTATGACAAGCATTTTACCCAACCGCATGTCCAGGATTTCGTGCGTGCCGTTTGTGAAGAAAAGATCAGGTAAATGAAAACAGTTCATCTTCCCATCCAGAAAGTATTATATATCAGCAAATAAAACTTATTTCTAACAAATCAGTTCTGCTGAGTTTTAGGAAGCAGTGTTTTCCACTTTGTTTAAAATATGCATCTACATATTAAAATCTACATTATATATCTGTGTGCATTCTATATCTATGTCTATCCTATCCTTCTGTAGGTCTATCTACATGTCTATCTCTATCTGTATTTTATCCATCTTTGTCTGTCTGTCTGTCTGTCTGTCTTGTGGCAGAGTTTGAAGGACGAGGATTAGGACAGTGAACTGATCATCTTGCTCTCATCCTTTCTGACCTACATTTGCATGCCCCCCAGCTCCTGCTGTATTATTTCCCTCCAACAGTCTGTGGCCCTTTGAAACTCTCCCTGCTGGGGCCCCATCACACCCCTCCTGACAGAGGTACACCAACACTTTTGGGTCTTTCAGTGGCAAGAAGTGTGCTCTGCACTCTCTTAGGAGCTGGTGGACTGAAAAGGGACCCACTCAGAGTGCGCACCTGAATGGGCAGTTTGGTGGGTTTTCACAGACCCAATAGACACATGTTGCAGACAGACATGACAAGCTATGTCTGAGGTGTGCACAACCTCTCAACACCACAGTGAGGGAGCTACTGGGCAAACGTGAATTTTAAATTCCAATGTATTTGTGTGTGTGTTTCTGTGGCCTCTGGGCCGCTCTATGCAGCTGATTCCTAGTTCTTAAGAACAAAGGAAGGGCAGCTTTGTTTCCCTAAGAGAATTCTGGATTATCCAAGACAAATATTTGATAATGTTATGATTTTGCTCCACCGTTCCTTTGCTCTTCTATAAAGACGTTTTTGCGGAACTACAGCTCTTGTCTGATGTTGCCTGCTACCCGTCACCTAATGGCCCACCCTCTCACAAGCCATTGTGCGGTTCGGCAGCTATTGATGGAGGTGTCCATTGCTCAGCCACCAATACAAAAGCAGGATTAGGAGCACCCAACCCTGTAGAACCCATGGCAGAAATGATACCAGAGAGGGGAAACCAGGGTGATTTCCTGGTAACAGAGGCCCTGAGACCTCCCCTATTTAGGCTCATGGTGGGGGAGGTACTTGTGAGTTGTACACCTTTGTGAGGAAACAGAGCAGTTGTTTCTTCTCTAGCTTGAACTAGAACCCAAAACTTCTTCCTTTCCACACATAATGCTTACATGACATGCCATACACCAGAGTAGTTAGGAGCTCTCAGATGTTAAATAAATGTCATTGTCACCATCGTGAGCCCTTTAGCGCAATCCAGTGTGTAGGACCTCTGTACATCCCTTAGCGGTGGACTGTCTCCTCTCATCTACCCCTCTTACCCCTCAGACTTGGTAGCAGTTTACCCATAATCTAAATTCTGTCATAATCATCTTATTATTACTGTTATTTTGGATTGTTTGTGAACAGCATGTTAATTATTTGCAGAGTGTCATCAAAGACCCTAAAATTATTTTTTTCTTTTACCTTGATTATTCATTCCTTTTGAAGACCTATTTACATTCTAAAATATACCCAGCAAGTTCTTTTCAAAGAACAAAGTTAAATTCTAGCCCCCAACTATGGTTTTTATCATGAATCTTAAAATAGTGACTTTTTTTATTATACTGAAGATTGTTGTCACCAGAAGCTAAGGCTGCCTTTGGTTTGCCGGGTAGGTTGATGGTTTCGGGATCAGCTGCTCTGCCCCTGCCTGTACTAGAGAAGTGGAAGAACATCACAGGCCACACTCTGCTGGAGAGGTATGGGATGACGGAGATCGGCATGGCCCTGTCCAACCCCCTGACCGTAGCAGCTCGCTTGCCAGGTACACAAAGTGCCTTCTTAAGGTGCTGGCAGGGTAGCCATGGCCTGTTCCCTCTGGGCACTCATTTTATCCCCAGTGGCCAGTTAAGGATAGGACAGAAAAGTGTTCTTTATACCAGAGTCTTTCCAGGTTACCTGGGGGGACAGGTAGGAAGAATGTGAACCACCAGAACCCATGTGCTCATCAGAGTGCCTCTTAGAGTGGGTGCTGCTTATGTCCAAACCAAGTTTGCCACTGGTGAGAGCCTCCTGTCCAGGTGCCCTGAGCCACACATGGCCAGTGGCAACAAGAGACATGACAGGTGTTGGGGGAAGGGGTGAGAGAACCACCACCTGTGCTTGGTGACCTGCACACGTCTGGATAGCCTGCTGCTCTAGACAGGAATTGTTGCCTTCTGGTCCTCCTGCCCAGCCTTCTCTAAGATGTTTATTTTATTTTATTTTTTTAATCCTGACCTGAGGATATGTTTCTGTTGATTTTGAGAGAGAGAGAGAGAGAGAGAGACACCTATGTGACAGAAAAACATTGATTGGTTGCCTCCCATAATGCACTCTGACCAAGGATCGAACTGCAACCTAGGTATATGCCTTGAACGGAAATGGAACCTGCGACCTTTTGGTGCATGGGACAGTGCTCCAACCAACTGAGCCACCCTGGCCACGGCCACTCTGACTTTCATTTAAATAGACCTTTCCATCCTGGGTCCTTAACAGGGAATCTTCAAACAGAGCCCAAGGCCTAAGATGGGAACATGTTCTGTTCTGTTCTTGGCCCTTTTCTATTACTCATAAGAAGTCACTTCCAATGTGTCCAGAGCGCAGCAATATCTCATTCACAGGAAAAGTAAAATAATCCTACATCAGTACACCAATTTAGCTTGCACATACAATGAAATTCACCCCTCACGTTCAGTTACGTGAGTAGCCATGTACCTGCTATTACACTCAAGATATAGAAGGGTTTAATCACCTCAAGACCTTTCCCTTTGTGTGGTCAGCACCTCCTCCACCCCAGGGCCAGGTAGGCACTTACCTGCTTTCTCCACCTGTAATTGCACTCTTTCTAGAATGTCATATAAATGAATTCCTACAGGACATGGCCTTTTTGAGTCTGGCTTTTCTCACTTAGCAGGATGCATGTATCACATGTTCCTTTCCATTGCCACATGGTATTTGGTGTGGAGAGGTCACTGTTAATTAACCTGTTCACCAGCTGAAGAACATTGGGTTATATCTAGTTGTGGACAGTTACCAGCAAAGCTGTTGTAAATGTGGGTGTGCAAGTTTCTGTGTGAGCATATGTCTTTATTTCTCAACTTGGAGTGGGATTGTTGAGTCAGGAGGTAGGTCTGTGCTCTCACTTATAAGAAATTGCCAAACTTTCCCCAGAATAGCCCCCGATATAGGGACCACCTTTCCCACTGACAGATGAGGAGTCTGAGGCTTTAAGAAATCATGTAATCTGCCCAAAGCCACAGAGTGGGTACCTGACCAAACAGACATTCCCGCCATTACACAGGAACACCCATTTACCGGAGCACAGCAGCACAGCAGACAGCCCAGTTTAAAGAGAGAGAGGTGGGGCAAAGAAATGGACAGGAGACTTTCTGGGCTTTAATTATAGGAGCAAACACAAGGCCGAGAAGCCAAGACCGGGAACCAGGACAGGAGAGAGCGAGCAAATGGCATTGTGGGGACCACCTGCAGGAAGGAGATGTGGACACCGTCTGCAATCTGGTGTTAAAGTGCTGGTTGGAGGCCCAGGAGCCCAGCTCAGGGCTCACCTTCGGACAGTAGAGGGACCAGGAAAGCAGCTGTCCTGGACCCCCTGGACCAAGGGGGTCCCCACTGACTTGGCCTTCAATTCCCTCTGAGAAGATAGAAACCAAAGACTCTGAAACCCAAGGTTTATTAGCCAGAAATTTCTGGATCTTAAATTATGGCTACAGCTCTTACATGCCTCAGAGACAGTGTGTGGAACATCAGAGTGTGGACTGGCTGTAGTCTCTCTTCTCTACACTGGAATCAAATATCTGTAAAGCAAACCTCTAGCAGTCAAGTGTAGTGCCGGTTCCTTGGTTTGGAAAATAAGTAAAGTAAACTTCAACCTTAAATTCAAGAGTGCTATATGAAAATCCCTAAAATGTCATCTCTGAGCCTCATTTCTGGAGAAACCAGATTGAAAAGTTTTTTTGGAGCCCTTTTCAGTCTTTTGTGTGCACTGTGTCTCCTGGGCTGGGGCCCATTACAGCTGGAGGCTATGAACTTGTGTTGGAGCCCCAGCCTGTGTCCCTTTCACACTGGGGACAGAGCCGTGCTACCTCTCCTGGCTTTCCCATGCCTCCCAGTGGGGGTTTGTTTCTGGAGGCTCCTTTCTTTCTGCTCCGGCACAGCCTCTTAATAGTGCTCCTACAGTTGCTTGAATGACCACCAGGATTTATTTAAAGGTTCTCAAAACCTGTTGGGGGCATGGAAGGACATGGTCAGCCTCAAAGGAGGGACACACTTCGTGGGGTGGATGTTTGCTGTGTGTGAAGCTCTTGGTCGGATCTAATCATTCATTCCCTGTCCCATGCGGTTATCTGAAGGAGGATGAATAATTCATGGCCAAGCGCTGCTGAGCCTAATGACGCTCTAATTGGAGGTTGAGATCAGAGGCGCTAATGGCTCCTGCAGTGGGACTCTGTGGAGCGTTGACAGGAGCTCCAGGACCTTATCGACCTGTTTCCATTCTCTCGGGACTAGCTGCAGAGCAGCCTCGCTCCCCAGATGCTGGACCAAGCTGCAGGCCAATTAAAGTTATCTAGGAAGAACAGGCAACTGTTTTAAAGAGAGACAGAAAAATGACATGCCACTTCTGACTAGGCCAGTGCTGCTGCCAGATGGATGCTAGGAGGGCAGCACTGTCCACGTGCTAGGAGGGTGGCCACTGCCCAGTTGATCCTGCTGTGCCAGGGCCAGCTCAGAGGTGGGGTAGCATGTTTCTGGGGCTCCAGGGCTCCCTCACCCCTGTTTTCAGTCTCTTCTCTGTGTGGACCTTACTTTTATTTATCATATGACTGTGAAACTCAAGTCAGTGTCTCTGCCTTGAGAGTTTAACGCTGTTGTTGTGTTTGTGATGCCATAGTTAATTAAGATTCTGTCAGCACTTTCATTATAGATTTTCTTAATGGTTTGTAACTTTCACTTTGTGAGGGGAGATGAGGCCTTACTGAACAGAGCAAAGAGGAACCAGAGGAGTGTGTGTGGGTGGTGCAGTTTCTTCCTTTTAAAAAATATTCAAAGGGGAAATGAGTGGTTTGAAAGGTGGCAGTCAGAGAGTAGTGGACGGGGAGGTGGACCTTTTGTGCATTTGAGGAGGAAAGCTGTAGGTCCCTCTTCAGATAAGAAATATATATTTGGGCTGGTTCAGGATGGTGGCAGAGTAGGTGGATCTTGCTCACAATGCCTCCCAGAACCAAACTGGAAATTACAGCTAAATTGGGGAACAGTCACCCTGAAATACTAACTGGAGACTATCTGAAGAGGAAACTTAACCAAGGACTGCAGAAGCCACATTGAGATTGCACCTGTACAATAACTTGCACGACATACTGGTACTTGGAGTTGAGCCTCACAGTCAGCTAGCCCATGGGCTGATCCACACACATGAACAGGCCAACAGCAATCAATTACAATCCACACAAGGGACATTCTTAGCGCATTCAGCTCAGAAGATAAAGGATACTGTGCCACTGAGTCCCACAGGACACTTAACTACATAAGGTCACCATATGAAGATATGGGGAGGCATAGCAATTCTACCTAATACATGGAAACAAACACAAAGAGACAGCTAAAATGGGGAGACCAAGAAATAGCCTCCAAATGAAAGAAAAGGAGGAATCTCTAGAAAAAGAGCTAAATGAAGTAGAGGCAAGCAATTTATAAGATATACTAGAGGCTTGGTGCATGAAATTCATGCACGGGAGGGGATAATGTCCCTTAGCCTGGCCTGCACCCTCTCCAATCTGGGACCTCTTGGGAGATGTCCGACTGTGGGATCAGGCCTAAACCGGCAGTCGGACATCCCTCTCACAATCCAGGACTGCTGGCTCCTAACCGCTCGCCTTCCTGCCTACCTGATTGCCCCTAACTGCTTCTGCCTGCCAACGTGATTGCCCCCTAACTGCTCCCCTGCCAGCCTGATAGACGCCTAACCACTCCCCTGCCGGCCCGATCACCCTCAACTGCTCTCCCCTGCCGGCCCGATCGCCCCCAACTTCCCTCCCCTGCAGGCCCAGTAGCCCCCAACTGCCCTCTCCTGCAGGCCTGGTGCCCCCCAGCTGCCCTCCCCTGCAGGCCTGGTGCCCCCCCCCCCAACTGCCCTCCCCTGCCAGCCTGATCTCACCCCAACTACCCTCCCCTGCTGGCCTGATGGCCCTCAACTGCCCTCTCCTGCCGGCCTGGTTGCCCCCAACTGCCATCTCCTGCCGCTCCGATCGCCCACAACTACCCTCCCCTCCTGTCCATCTTGTGACGATGTGGGGGCGGCCATCTTGTGATGACGTGAGGGTGTCACTCGAGGGCCACTTAGGCTTTTATTAGTATAGATAGTTCAAAGTAATGGTTATAAGGATGCTCAAGGAACTTAGTGAGAATTACAAGGAACCTCATGGGAACTACAATGGCATGAAAAAAGGAAATAGAAACCATGAACAGTAACCATTCAGAAATGAAGACTACCATATCTGATATCAAGAATACATTGGAAGGAATTAAAAGTACTGGTATATTAAATGAAGCTGACTTTGAGGACAAGGTAGAAAAAACACCCAATTAGATCATCAAAGAAAAAAAATTTAAAAGCAGGAACATAGTTTAAGGGAACTTTGGGATAACATGAAACCTAATAGCATCTGTATCATAGGGATACTAGAAGAAGAATAAATGAGCAAGGAATCGAGAACCTGTTTTAAGAAATAATGACAGAAAACTTCCCTAATGTGGTAAAGGAAAAAG